TAGAAATTCTGTAACTAAAAGGTAAAACAGAAACAGGAAATTCACTAGGGTAGTTTAACAGTAGGTTTGAGCAGGCAGAAGAAAGAATCAGTTAATGAAGATAGGAAAACTGAAATTATCAAGTCTGAGGAGCAGAAACAAAACAATAAATAAAAATAAACAGAGTCTAAGATACCAATGGGAGCCTATTAAATAGGTCAATATATACATTCTGGAAGTTCCAGGAGAATAAAGAAAGAGTGGAAAGCATATATGAATTAAAAAATTTTGATAAATAATGATTCCCACATTTTATGAAATGTATAAATCTATAAATCCAAGAAGCACAGTAAATTAAAAGTATGGTAAACCCAAAGAGATTCACACTGAGACATATAACTGAACTGTTGGAAAACCAAAAACAATGAGTACACTGTAAAAACAGCAAGAGAAAAATAACTCATTACATACATGTGATCCCTAGTAAGACTATCAACTGGTTTCTCAGTGGAGAAAGACAATGGGATGATACATTTAAAGTGCTGAAAGAAAAAACTGTAACTGAAAGTTTATATCCAGTAAAACTGTCCTTAACAAATGTGGGAAAAATTAAGACATTACTAGACCAGCAAAAGCTAAGGGAGTTCATTACCACTAGACTTGCCCTGTGAGAAATGATAAAGAGAGTCCTTCAGGTTGAAATGAAAGGATGTTAAACAGTAAGTAAAAGTCTTATGGATAAATAAAGATCTCCAGTAAATGTAAATGTATGGGCAAGTATAAAAACATTATTATTGTATCTGGGGATTATAATTGTACTTTTATCTCCTACAGGATTTGGAAAGGCAAATGCACTAAAAAATTATTAGTTGATTTTATTGTGCATGCAATAAAAAGATATAATCTGCAACAACAGAAACATAAAGGAGAGAGAATGATGTTGTATAAGAGTGGAGCTTTTGTATGTTATTGAAATTAAGTTGGTATAATTTCTGACTAGGTTGCTATAAATTTAGGTTGTTAAATGTAATTCCCATGGTAATCACAAACAAAATATGTGAAAAGTTAAAAAAAAGGAAATGAAATGAAAATCCAAATGGTTCACTACAGAAAAATCAACTAAACATAAAAGAGGTCATTAATAGAGGAAATGCAGAACAAAAAAAAAGCTATGAGATCTTCAGAACACAAAACGACAGAAGTAAGTTGATCCTTACCAGTAATTACTGTAAATGTAAATGGATTAAACACCCTAATCAAAAGACATATATTGGCAACAGAGCTTTCCAAACTTGTTTGACTTTAGAAGTTTTACAAATGGACTACAGTTAACATTTCAAAGGACATTTATGAAAGATAGAAACAAAGTACAAGGGATCATAATTTTGAAAGGGAGAAAGATGTTCTGCAGCAACACATCCCCCTTGTTAAAGTGCAGACTGCTTCAGCAGGTCTCAGGTAGGGCCTGAGATTTGGCATTTCCAGCAAGCTCCTAGGTGATGCTGATGCTGCTGGTCCTCAGCCCACAATCTGAGTAGCAGGGGATATACTAGTACTGTTATATGAAGAATAGCACTATTCTTCATGATCTTGTTCCCTACCATAGCAAATTTGATCAACTGATATGAAAGTGAAGATGTTAATGGACAATAATCAGCAACTTCTTATGCCTCCCAAGTAGCATAATTACAATTTTATATGGGTTTTTAAGACAAATACCTTAATCCAAAGAAGATACTCTGAGAAAGTGATATATAGTAACAAAGAAGATAAATATGGGATGGGGATTGTCATACTTTGTGGTGGGGGCAGTTGAGAGGGAACTGTTTTTTCAAATACATTTAAAGTATGCCAGATCCATGTCTTACTTCCATTTATATTTGGATTGCATACTTGAATTATGGCCATATTACTCTGTCTTATAAAAATGAGAGAAAAAAATAAAAAATGAGAGCAAGAGAGAAAGGGAAGAAGGAAGATAGGTGACAAGAAAAGAACAAAGGATAGGAACGATAGTGACACAAAAGACTAGATGTCTACATAATTCTTTTCACTAGTCAGATTCTTATTCATCTCATTTTGGAATATCATCACTTTACTGATAAATCAATTAGATGAGGTTAACTAGTGTAAAATGTTTCCTTCTGTAGTTTACAGAACACATTCATTTACTGGTGATCACATCTAAGAAAAAGTCCCTGTCAATCAGAACACCTGAGCAGACTATTATGCTAAATGCAGATGAAAGGTTGTGCTGGTCCATACTAGGATAACTCCTAAAAGTGGGGGAAAAAAGTTATCTACAATTCAACCCAAAAAGCTTGCAGATCAAGTTCAATATTTAGGTAGCATATATCACTAGGATAATTGTATTGGCCTCAGGCTTTTTACCCCTGTAGTTAAGAAAAAAATGTCCTTAAAGTTAGGCGATTTCTGCCTCTTATAAACTCTGTGACCTTGGGAAAATGAATGATCTTTATGCCTCAGTTTCTTTCATCTGAGAAATTGGGATCATGATAATTATTGAAGAATCAAATAAGGCACTCACTGGTACACAGTAAGCTTCAAATATGTGTCAGTTCTGAGTATATGCATGTGCTCCTCCCTCATCAAATAAACTTACTTTTTTCTTTCTAAGGGTTTATATAGAAATCCTAATGAACCTTGAAACAAAATGCCCAAAATTGAAAAAGTCAGATGTAAAGAATTAAGAGAGGAACAAACCAATGTAAAATACCATGGTTAGCAGGTCAGGAGGGCAACAGAATATTATGAAATGAGAGTAGTGCAGCAAAATGGTTGAGAGTTTAAGTTTTTGGAATCAGAATGAGGACACACTGAGTCTCAGCTTTTCTAATTGTTGTGATGTGACTTCAAGCAAGTTAACCTCTCTAACACCATGTTTCCTCATCTGTAAACACTTACCAGAGCAATAAACAGATTCTTCTTTTGTGAGGATTACACTAGATAATTTAGATAATTTTAATGCACTTAGCACAGTGCAGTAATATATGGTAACTTAAAAATTATTTTGACTTCCAGCAACATAGTCATAATGCCACTTATCAGGAAAGATAAAAACAAATATATAATGGTATGACCCAGCTTTCTAAATGCTTTCAAGCCAGTTGGGTAGGCTAGACAAGCAGAAAAAGTATAAGACAGACAATGTTTAATTTTTCAAATTTCTGCTGGTTAAATGACATTTCTCTTCTTCCTATTTCTTTTTCCCGTCATTAATTTATCTATCTTGTGTATAAGAATTCAGGAAAGTTTTCCACCTTGAAGTGGATGATCTCAAAGAAAATATTTCACTGTGGAGAGAGAGGGAAAAAACAAACACATAATTTCTTGTGACTTGCCTCTGCCTTGTCTAATTTATTTCTTATTAGCAGAAAAATATATTTGTTATAAAATAGAATTTTATGGCCAAGGAAAAAAAAGTATCTATTTTGCTTTTTTTATTTTGAGTAAGCAATAAAGAAAAACAAAATCAAGCAGAATAGAAAGTGACCATGGAGAAGAATTCATCATGGCAGATGCTGACATAGGAGGGGCAGGGTCAAATTTAAAATACTTGGGGCAGTTCAAAGATGTCTACTGAAAATTGTTTGGTAATATGGTGGTGCCTGTGATTCTGTGCCTGCAAATATTTTTTACAAATCACAATTACTGTTTAATTAAAAACAAAAACATAGCTGTTTCAAAGAATAACACACTTCTTTTACCAAAACTCCTTGCTCCGGCTTTTACCAAAAAATTTTGCCTGAGGAGTTAAATTAGCCATTATACCCCAAATTTCCTTTCCTCATTTCTAGAACCTGACATGGACTTCTGAAGAAATTTAAAAATGCAGTGTTTAAGGAATTTTCACTACCAGCCTTTGAGGGAGGCCTTAAGCCAAATTCCTCTTCTTTCAGCTCCTACAGGTTTGTTGGGTACTGAGCCAAGTAGGGTGTTTCTTGAACTGGGCTGCTGATCCTTTGTCACATGAAGACATACACATTTCTACAGGAGAAGGCAGTGAGTAAAACAGATACTTCATGGAAATATTAGCTCAAAAATCATTAGGTGAAAATTCTACAAAGACAATAAATATCTTCCCCAGCAAAATGTCATCAAACAGTGATTTACCTACTGACAAAAGGTAAGAGAAAACGAGAGCTGTAGTCAGCCTAGTCACTGTGTCTCTGGAGATAAAAATGGACTCTTTCCTTGTTCAAAGCACATCTAGGATGGAATAATCCTTTATACCATATTTACTAAGGCAACAATATGGATATTAAGTAATATTTCTGTTTGTGTTTATGTCTTAAGATAAGTAAATTTTCTTTGCTGTATTTCCATACATCATTTTTCATTGGTGGTCAGAGGATACAAAGGAGGGGGGTAAATTCAGAGGTGTCAAGAAAATAAAAGTAACTCACTGATTTAAAGAACGTCATACAAAAGGAGGTGGATGATCCTGGCTCATCCATAACTCAAAATGCAGCTCCATTTTGACCTCACAACAAGGCTATTTCAACACTGTGAGGCAACTGCTGTTGATGTCTACAATGTTGATAATCCTAAGGTCAAAAATAAAGCCACCACCCAAAAGGCTATTTTAATAGCAATGTATGACAATGAATTCAGTTCAATAGTTTTCAGCTTATATTTTCCAAATCCAATACTCTTCAGGGTAGGTTGCCATTGCTTAACAGCCATTATCTGTTATCATTATGCACCTCTGGGTAAAACTTTTTTTTTTCAATCTCACCATCATTTTAATTTTATTCACATCTCTAGCCAATTGCACAGATGTTAATGGAGCTATATTTTTGTTTCAATGTATATTGCAATATTCTTATTGCATTCTGCAGGTCCTCCAGTAAACGTTACTTGCAATATTTTTATCAACAGTTTTGGATCAGTCACAGAAACCACCATGGTAAGTGCTGCAATGCCACTGGCAAGAGAAAGACATGACTCAATTATGCTATGAACACAAACTGTCAAATTTTCTATTGTTCAACTTGCAGGGCCTCCTGTAAATGTTACCTGCAACATATTTATCAACAGCTTTGGGTCAATAGCAGAAACTACAATGGTGAGTGGGACTGAGCATTGAAGCCATCGTGTGAAGGAATGGGATGTGGGATTGAAGTGCACTGTGGCATATTTGTGGGACATTTACTGAGTGCCAATTTCCAACTTTGCTCGCCTCTGAAAAGCAATAATTTATATTACTTCATTTTTAAGTCATTTGTCAAGTGTTCATTACTCAATATTCACTAATCTTATATCCATCATGCCAGAGAAATTTTTAAAACACTTGATGTTTTACTGGTTTTCTGTAGAATTATCCACAATAAACATGATGCATAGTTACGGATATTTAAATAGGTGCATCTCCAATGCCTCAGAAGTATAAATTTCAAAGTTTGTGAGATGTAATAGTATAGCCAGTTTTTTACATGTAATGGAATTTTTAAGATAATTGAGCCTCACTTTGATGCCACATTTAAGATATATTCCAAGGGGCTGAACTCAGAAAAATACACATACACATACACATACACATACACATATACACATACACATACACATACACATACACATACACATATACACATACACATACACATACACATACACATACACACATACACATACACATACACATACACATACACATACACATACACACATACACATACACATACACATACACATACACATACACATACACATACACATACACATGATTTTGTTGGCAAGAGAAAGTAGTCCCAAGTCCATAACAACTATACCATATGCATGCCTTTCCAAAAAAAAAAACCCATAAACTTAAAGCTAGTTAGAAGCTCATTATAGAGTATGAGTAGACATGTTTCATATATGTGAAAAAGATTTCAGATACTATAAAATCTACCAATGCTTTGAAAAATTTTTTTTCTTTTGATATGGAGTCTCTCTCTGGTGCCCAGGCTGGAGTGTAGTGGCACGATCTCAGCTCACTGCAACCTCCACCTCCCAGGTTCAAGCGATTCTTCCACCTCAGCCTCCTGAGTAGCTGGGATTACAGGTGCATGCCACCATGCCTGGCTAATTTTTGTAGAGACCTGGTTTAACCATGTTGGCCAGGCTGGTCTTGAACTCCTGACCACAGGTGGTCTGCCTGCCTCAGCCTCCCAAAGTGCTGGGATCACAGGCATAAGCCACCACAGAATCTCACTCTTCTGTCCAGTCTTGGACTGCAGATTATGGCCTACTGAAACTTTAAACTCCTGGGCTCAAAGATACTCTTGCCTCAGCCTCCCAAGTAGCTAGGACTACAGGTACATACTACCACATCTAGTTAATTTTTAAAAAAATGTGGAGATGGGATCTCACTACTTTGTCCAGGCTGTTCTCAAATTCCTGGCCTCAAGCAATCCTCCTGCCTCAGCCTCCCAAAGAACCAGCATTACAGGCATGAACCGCGACACCCTCCTTATAAATGCCATGGTCATGTTACCTGTGACATAGCCTATTGGATCACTAGCCTTACCCCATAGAGTTCTAGGCTACAGCATGGAGCTTGCATTTTGGGCGAAACATTTTCTTGGTCCCCATATATTTACTTTAAGTCCTAAATCAACTGGCTGGATCTAATTGGCATGACTATGTAAAGTTTACACCATTCATTCAATGAAACCAAAATCGAGTATAATTTAATTTGACTAAATGTTATGGTGCCTGATGTTCTAAAAATAATAAGCATAATGACATTGACAAGTAAAAAACAAAGGTTCCCTTGTTTATGTGAATTTTCTCTTTTTGACGACAAGAACCATGTTTAATAAATTACTGTACTTTGTGGTGTCCTTCATGTTAGAAAGAATGAACTTACTTTTACCACTTTTTTCCACTAGCAAAATTAGACATAATTCAACTATACTACCCATGTTGATATTACTCTGAAACATTATTACCCAGAAATGAGACTTGTGAGGCTCCGATAGGATGTAGTGCATTTAAAAATTTACCTAAATAGGATAGTTTTGATAGGGTTATTAAATGACTCATAAGAAAAGCTAAACATGGACAGAGGAAACCAGCTCTCAGGTTGGCATTCAGTTTTTGTCTCTCCCCTCTTGGCTTTTTCCTAATAAGAGAGGGGCAAAGCTTCCAGTAGCCGAAATCCCTGTCACCAGCTTTACACGATGGCATTCAATGACAATATTTGCACGACCTAATGCTGATTGCATTAATTAAACTCCCATGTTGCTTTGATTGAATCTCCTCATTGCATCTTATTCTCAATCAAAAATGTAAATGTGCACCTTTTCGATGTTCATTAATGCAAAAAAAGTTAAACATTTAAAGAGATTAAAATGGAAGCTCTGGATATCCTTGTTTTCTGCTGTCTTTAACAGCTACTGCAAGTGTTTCATAAATGAGTTGCGTTTTCCTGGCCACATATTAAGTGACCTATGTCATACTTCCAATCAGAAAATTTGGAAACTGTTGCTCAAGGGTAACATAAACAGCCTGTCTCTTCTGTATAACACAGATTGAATTGCATGGTTAGAAGACTAATGTGTATTGTGGTGTTGCTTTTGTTTTAATTCTTAGCTCTGATATAATGACAACCTCCATTTGCTTTAAAAAATGTATCTTGTTTCATTCAATTTTGGCTTTGGTGCAAAATTACAGAAAATATTTTTTGGAACTCTATCATGCTTTTCAAAGAAGGCCACCTAGGATAGGATTGGCAAACATTTTCTATGAAAGGCCAGACAGTATACTTAGGACTTTGAGAGCCAGATAGTCTCTGTCACAACTGTGCTATTCTGCCCTTTTGGCATGAAAGCAGCCGTAAATAATAGTAGGCAAATAGTTGTGGCTGCGCACCAATAAAGCTTTACTTAGGAAAACAGGCCAAGGCCCAAGTTAGCAAATAAGTGTAGTTGTGCATCAGTAAAGCTTTATTTGCAAAAACAGGCTGAGGCCAAATTTAGGCTACAGGCCATAGGTTGCCAGCCCCAGATTTAGTGCATCAATATTTAAATGGATGTCTAATAGAATGTGAGAATTCCTCCAAGAAAGGTCTTATCTTCCAAGATAATTGAGGCCCTGCCTGGGACACCACCTAGAACACCAGTCTTAATTAGCTCAAGCTGTGGTAACAAAGTATTATAGATTGGTTGGCTAATAAACAACAGAAATTTATTTCTGACAGTTCTGGAGTCTGGAAGTCTGAGATCAGGGTACTAGCATGGTTGGGTTCTGATGAGAACTCTATTTGGGTTACAAACTGTTGACTTTTGGTACTCTCGCTTGGTAGATAGAAAATTCTCTGGGGTCTCTTTTCTAAGGGCAGTAATCCCTTTCTTGAGTGCTCCACCCTTACAACCTCATCACCTCCCAAAGGCCCCACTTCTAACCTCCGATATTATCACATTGGAGGTTCAAATTTCAACACAGGAATTTTGAGAGGACACATTCAGTCCAATGCACACCCAAAGTGTATCACAGCCCAACTTTCTTTACCATGCCTCTAAGATTTTACCATCTATGAATTTACTGCTAGTTTAACAAAATTCGACTCAGAAAAATTGGTCAAAAAAAATTAAACAAACAGGTTCTTCCCTGAACTGCCTTTAGTTATAGTCAGAATCCTTAGCTTTATGCACAGTGATGAGATCATTGGGGACATTGATTCTTCCTATTTTCTGGAGGTAATAATTTTGATTTCTCTACATTTTCTGAAATAAATTATTTTCAAGAATGCCTCAGAATTTTGAGTTTCTAAACCTGCTGATTTTTCTCTCTTCCTTTACACTTCACTCTCATTCCATTATCCAAATAACATTATTAAAAGATTTAGTTTGGGGTATTTGTTTCCAAAGAAAAGGCAATGATTATCTACTTCAAGAACTCAACATCGCTTTCTTTGGTGCTATCTAGTCTTCCCTTCCTATGGTGAATGAAGTCCCACTAACTTATTGTAGGTATTGTCTGCCCACCAATTCTCACTCTGATATGTTAATTTCAGAGATTTGTACTCACAAGACAACACATTTGTATTACTCTAAGGAATATTTTTATGTTTCATTATTTTTATGGATGTGTTATTCAAAAAATGCATTTTTGTTCATTAAGAGGCAGAAAAATCTACTACTGGTCATTTCTAGTTGATCCAGCATTAAGAGTATTCAGTGGAACAAATTTTGTGTGGTCCCAAAGATTTAGATGACTAATACGAAGAAAATGATAAGATAGGTTATATTCTGTTTTTGAAATGTGAGTTTACCATTTTCTTTTCTTTTTCTCTTTTCTTTAGTTTCTGATGGCAAGTGAATTTATAGGATGGGGAGTATATTTGCAACCCCTATGTCCCAATATAAAGGCATAGTTTGAGAATTTTAGTAATGTCATTACAGGTCAAGGGTGCTTGCATACCACCTGTATGTAGCTTTTCCCCAAGTTTGGGCTATCAGAAAATAGAGAAAAGATGCTCTCTTCCCAGCTTCCAAATGACTGCCTGGAAGGATGTAGGTAGCTAGTATGTGATTTCGACATACAGATGCTGGAAGACTATCCATGACACAGCAGTGGGTCCTAGTCTACTCCTCATTTAACAGATAGGAGGGTGAACTGAAAGTGTACAAAATGTGTCCACACAGAAAACATCTCCAGAATATAATTCTAGCTCCCTCAAACCCTTTCCCCAAACATTTTACATGTTTTGGTGGTTACTTCTGCTGAATGAAGAATTGTTTTATCTCCAATCTGAAATCACATTCCTGAAAAACTCAGATTAAGAAGACAGACAGCCCCTTATAGAATGCGTGTTGTGCTGTAACTGGTGACATGAGACTGTGGGCCCCCTTTGATTCTAAAGCTGCATAAACAAGTTATAAGAAGATGCTAACTTATCGGGGATAGCAGGTAGCTACATTTATTATTTCTGACTTCTTAAGAATGAAGAATCTACTACAAGCCTGACTTATTTATTTATTTATTTTGGAGGGGCAGAGTCTGCCCAGGCTGGAGTGCAGTGGCACAATTTCTGCTCACTGCAACCTGCGCCTCCCAGGTTCAAGCGATTCTCCCACCTCAGCCTCCCGAGTAACTGGGACTACAAGCATACACCACCACGCCTGGCTAATTTGTGTATTTTTAGTAGAGATGGGGTTTCATCATGTTGGCCAGGCTGGTCTCGAACTCCTGACCTCAGGTGGTGCACCTGCTTCAGCCTCCCAAAGTGCTGGGATTACAGGCATGAACGAGCCACAGCATCTGGCCCAGGCCTGACATTTTTTAAACAAATATATAAGAGTGAACTTGGTCTCTAAATTAGCAGTGCAATGGTAAAGCCTCAGTTTATCATAAAGTAACTGCTCCCTATAACTTCAAACTCAAAGTGAACTTCCCATATTAAAGCTCACACAGACTTGAGATTAGGCCTACTTGGGGCACTCTTCCCAAGAGTACTGCCTCCAAAACCCTCTATGAACTTGATCATCAGGATGAATTTGAAAAAAAAGTCATGGGAATTTGTATAGTTTAGTAAATAGATTTTTAAAAAACCTATATTGAAGCTTTTTTTCCATATATCCTGATCTTTACAACTGAATTATTTCTTTTCCCTTTTGATCCTGGGGGAATTTGCCCAAACTTGCCATCCTGAAATAGTCTCCAGAGTACCCAGTAGAGTGACCAACTATCCCAATTTGCCTACACCAAGGAAGTTCCCTGGATGTGAGAGTTTTGGGGCCAAATCTGGGAAGTTCTCAGGCAAACCAGGACAAGTTAGTCACCATTAGAGTAATGTAAATAATGACCAAAAATCCAGGTATGAAATATGTGGAGATGGAGCAAGGAAGGGTAAAGTATGTAAAGGAAAGAGAGTAAAAATGAATTGGTATATATCACACCTGTGGTCACAAGTAGCAATAATGCTTAACTACTAGGTCCGAAACCACAGACTGGCTTGATTAGGGAATACTGTTGAAGACTCAATCAATGTCCAGATTATCAACTGAAGTAGTACTTTGAATGAACCTATGGTCTTTGAGTACAAGTCCCCAGGAGAGCAGTCACTGCCCCAAGCTATTCTTTAGCACAGAAGAAAATTCCCAGAAGAAATGGAAATGCCAGGGGTGCACTTAAAACTCCTACAGTGTTCAGATTGAGAAAACATGAAGCATCTCTGTTTGGATGAAGCATCAAGTTGGGTAGTGTAGATACAACCCATTCAGAGAAAATGATAAGAATTTCAAAAGTAAGTAGTTGCAAAGAAAATATTTTGTTAGCATGAAAGATGTTGATGTTTATGTTGACAAATTTTAAAAATACTGCCCCATCATGTCATAGTTTTGTAAGATTTTCACTACTCAAATTGCACAGTGGGTTTCCTTCTGCCCAGAACATCTGAGCAGAAAGAGACTAGAGGTCATGTGATTTCTGATTTGGAAAATAAATCCGTTTTATTTGACAATCTGCCATCACAGACTGATTTCTGTGTTCATGATTACCTTTTTCTGTAGCAAAATTGGCTTGAGTTAGTATTATTTCATCCCAGAATGGATAATTTAGACATTAAAAATTCCAAGTCCACCTGTTCTATTGATGTTCTGGTTTGGTTGGATCTTCCCTTTTCTTTCTCCCTTCTGTCCCCTCTCCTAATAGAACTAAATGGTTTATTATGGCCAAGGTAGAAACAGCTTGGTTTACTCAGACACCAAAGCTGTACCAAATCACAGAAAAGAATGAGAGTGAAATGAAAATAGATCTCTTCTGCCAGGGTAATCAACAATGGTTGTTCATGGCATTTCTGTAGGACTACCGAGTGAATATTTTTCTGAGACAACAGTGGAATGATTCACGGCTGGCATACAGCGAGTACCCAGATGATTCCCTGGACTTGGACCCATCTATGCTAGACTCCATTTGGAAACCAGATTTGTTTTTTGCCAACGAGAAGGGGGCCAACTTCCATGATGTCACCACTGACAACAAATTGCTACGGATTTCAAAAAATGGCAAAGTGCTTTACAGTATCAGGTAAGCCTCCATTGGCTGAGCATGTTCACGTCTCCATTTCTCTGCTAATATAGAGCTGCCTGACTCTGCAGAGTAGGATGTATATAAACTATTTGACTTTTGTGGTTTCTTGTTTATCATTTGAATCTTAAAGTTGGTGGAGAGTGCCACAAGTCCCCTTGGTCTCATAAATGTTATTCTCCACAACAAAAATGTATTTGGTAGGATGGTACATGGGTAATGGTATTTTGTAATCACCTGCACAAATGTGTTCTTGATTGCTTCAATAAAGGACGTATAGGATTTTCAGTTCAATTGCCATTAAGCATAATATACAAAACCTCATTTCAATAATTCTGACATTCTGTAACATTCAAACACGCACACACACACACACAAATTCAATAGCTCAGCATAGTCACTGTAACATACTTTTAGCTGGATAAGTGGAGATTTGGTTCCAATGTCAGCTTTGCCTCTAAGTAAACATGTGACCTTGATCTCTTAACTCTTCTTGAACTTGGGCCTGGGACAGACAATTCCTGAGATCCAGTTTTGCTTTTATATTCCAGTATGATCTTCTCCAGAAGTGTTATCACTCTAGGCTCAAAATAATCTCTGAGCCTCTCTGATTATTTATTTCAAAATAATCAAACCCTTTTCTGAGCTCTAATAGCAGTTTCTCTGTGACTCTGTAAGGCTCTTGTTTTTTCCCGCCTTATATTTTGGTTACTTTTGTTCATGAATATAGCATAAAAACATGCATTTCTGGAATTAGACAAATCTAGAATCAAACCCAAACTTTGCCCTTACTAAGTTATGTAACATATAACCCTCAGTTACCTTAATTGTAAAATGGGAAACACCATGTTTATCTCTGAATATTCTTGTGAGAATGAGTAATGTAGTAGTCAGCAAATATTTTCTGTAAAAGGCCAGATATTATTTTAAATATTGCAGACCAGACTGCCTCTGTTGCAACTACTCAACTCTATCATTATAGCTCAAAAGCAGCCTTAGGTAATATGCAAACAGTTGGACACGGCTGTGTATCAATAAAATTTTATTTACAAAAATAAGTGGTAGACTGGATTTGGCCCTTTGGCTGTAGTTTGCCAACTCTTGATATAAAGTATATTAAAAATACTTGCCACAGTACCTGACGCAGAATAAATGTTTGATAAATAAAATAATGGCTATCTGTATTTTAAAATCAGTTCTTTTTTAGTGCTCAACATCTCGAATCATTAGAGAAATGTAAATGAAAACCACAATGAGATACCATCTCACACCAGTCAGAATAGCTATTAAAAAGTCAAAAAATAACAGATGCTGGTGAGGTCACAGAGAAAATGGAACACTTAAACACTGCTGCTGGGAATGTAAATTAGTTCAGTCATCGTAGTAAGCAGTTGGCAATTTCTCAAACAACTCAAAGCAGAATTACCGTTTGACTCAGCAATCCCATTATTGGATATATACCCAAAAGAATATAAATCATTCTACTGTAAAGACACATGCACCATGTACATATATGTATGCTCATTGCAGCACTGTTCACAATAGCAAAGACATGGAATCAACCTAAATGCCCATCAGTGGTGGACTAGATAAAGAAAATGTGGCAGCTGGGTGCAGTGGCTCACGCCTGTAATCCTAGCACTTTGGGAGGCTGAGGCAGGTGGCTCATGAGGTCAGGAGTTCAAGACCAGCCTGACTAATATGGTGAAACTCCATCTCTACTAAAAATATTATTTTTAAAAATTAGCCAGGTGTTGTGGAACGCATCTGTAGTCCCAGATACTCAGGAGGCTGAGGCAGGAGAGTCGCCTGAACACAGGAGGCAGAAGTTGCAGTGAGCTGACATCGTGCCACTGCACTCCAGCCTGGGCGACAGAGTGAGACTCCATCTTAAAAAAAAAATGTGGCACTATACACCATGGAATAGTACACAGACATATAAAAAGAATGAGATCATGTCCTTTGCAGCAACATGGATGGAACTGGAGGCCATTATCCTAAGTGAACTAACAAAGGAACAGAAAAATACTGTTCAATGAACAGTACAGTACCGTTCAATTGAACATGCAGTAGAAATGCTGCATGTTTTCACTTGTAAGTGGGTGCTAAACACTGAATAACACAAAGAAGGAAACACAAAGAAGGAAACAACAGACACTGGGGCCTACTTGAGGGTAGAGGGAAGGAGGAGGAATGAGAATCAAAAAACTGCCTTATCGGGTCCTCTGCTGGGTGGCGAAACAATCTGTACACAAAACTCCCATGACGTGCAATTTACCTATGCAAGAAACCTGCACATGTACCCCTCAACCTAAAGTAAAGCTTAGAAAAATTCATGTTATTTTTCAATAGTAAGCTTTTAGCTCTTTAAATTCAAGATATTTGGTTTTTGTTTTTTTTGTAACATCTACCAAAGGTTTAGGACAATGTCCTGTATATGGGAGATAGTACATTGAATAAACTATTGGCATATAAAGGTCCTTAATAGAATGCCCCCTTTCTCTATATAATTTTATTACCAAAATAGTGGACTATTCTCCTTGCAAATAATTTTTCCAAGTTTGCAGACTCACCATCATCACCACCTCATCTGACAACTCTATAATGATTTAGTTCTGTATTGTAAATTCCATTCTTATACCTAGTAATTTCATAGCCTGCTGATGGCTGAGAACCCCAGTGTCTTGTGAAATAAAAGAAGCTGCTCATTTGTAAAAAGTGGCAAAGTCACTGCTTGCACAGAGAACTAGAAAACTTCCCCCAAACCAATTCATTTTTAAGGAAACACAGAATATTCTCCATGGTAATGTGTTTGGTAGGTGTAAAATTCAGTACTGAGCACAATGTAAATTGATGGGACCTGATAAAATGGGACATATGTAGAGTGTGGTGCTAGGAGGGAGAGTTATAAAAAGCAGCACAGAGTATCAGCTGCTCCAGCTAATCCTCGGGGCCTTGGGTGGCATTTGCTCTAATGAATACCAGACATCATGCACTGCTGAAATCAAACCAGGTTGTTGTTGCTGTTGTTGTTTTCTTGCTGTTCTATGAAGGTCTTTATATTCTAGAATTGTGAAGAATATGATGCTCCCACCTTAAACTCAGAGGCAATTCTTATATCTCTGGTTCTCTGGTACAGCACATTCAGGCCCTAAAATGTCCTAACAATTGTTTTAGATTAGGTGGGGTTTGTCCTATGGCAGGCTGTTTTAGACTTTTCTTTCATTGTATTCTCTGAAATAAAAATAAAAACCTTGGTAAAGGAGAATTGGAGATACCATTTTAAGGAGGTACAAGCTGTTGGGAGATTTGAACTGCAAGAATCTAATTATTTGCCTAGAATGAGCCAGATATCCAGAACTGAGTAAGATATGAACCTTCCCTTGGAATGGCTTCAGTCTAACAAAGAAGGTGGACACATGATAAATTAAGTAATACGAATAAATAGGAAACAAGGAAAACAAAAGTGGCTCTAATTTTGCCAATTAATTATGTGACCAAAATATTGTCAGAATGTGGGTATGGGAACCACACTCTTGTTTTTCACTGGGCTTAATTTAACTAGAGGCCAAGGAGTAACTAGCGCGAATATATACCCAGCTGCAGGTTTGACTCAACTTTAGGCCAAGGGGCAACAGTTGTCCATGTCTTAAAGGTGCTGAAATGTTTCTGCTGAAGTTCCATTAGAAAGTAATTTCCCTGCACACTCAGGTTTACAACACAAATACTCCCAGGAGAGGTAGTCCATTGGCTTAAATCCATAGTAAGCTCTAAAGAGCTGATATAAAATTTATTTCTGATAGTAAGCTTGATGTCTGTGAATAGTGAGAATGAACGTATTGGATTCCTAAGAGGAGAAATGGGACAGAATGAAGAAAGGTTGGGAACGATACAAGGAAGGGGCGAGAAGTACCAAAGAAAAACCCAAAAGCTGTCTCCACATTATACAGTAAATAGTTAAGCAATTATTCAATTATGTAAGCATGTGGTCCACATGTTAAAAAGTAATGTTCTGTCCTGATATTCTGTATTTGCGTTTTCCTGAAACCTAAAGCAAATACCAGTCTCATTTAATCTGGGGAAAATTCCATGCTTTTCTTAGCTTTGTAGGTGTAGGAGTAGAATTAACTCTCCATGGACACCAAAGCCCAAGGCTTTGATGGTCAAACAAAAACAAATAGAGAACTATACAGTCCATTGATTTCATAACAAGCAATATTACATTTCCTAATACTTCATATATCTGTATTCCAAAAGGTAGGGGTCTGGAAAAAAAGAAGAGAGAGAGCGAGAGAGAGGGCAGTAGACCAGAACTCCATTAAGTGCCCTCCTTGTAAACACTTGAGGTACTTGAGTAAAATTCAAACGAATCTTTTAAATAGGAAGGAAAGGTCTTAGCCCAGTGTTAACAAACCCTTTATCTGCTGATGCAGGACACAATATTTGTTGATGAAAAAGTATCAATCTATATCTGTCCATTTTTCTTCTTTAATATTCATTCTCTAATGTTTTATCTTACTCTGTTTTTTTCTAAGTCTTTTGTTGACCCACCCCATTAATTATTGATCATCTCTGACAAAAGTAAACAGTTTGCTTTATAAACCCTCTTCAGAGAAAGTCAATAACCCAGAGACTGTACTGGGCCTAGAGATCAAGTATAGAGTAAGATGTCCTTCATCTGGGATGGGGAAAGAGACTCAAATTCTGAATTCAGACAGAGTTACATTCTAAATTCACATAACTTACAATGACTTGAATCCATACTGAAATAGTGAGGTGAGTCTTGGAGGTTGTATATACTATTGTTTAAACGGCATTTGTTGAATTTAACATAATGAGTTGAAATAAAGGTCAGGACATCATGGGATATGGTGGACAGCATGAAAGGAAAAAGGAGAAGGTGAGTAATTTTGAAGAAGACCAGATTGTCTCACATGCCCACAATACCTTTGCTGATATCGTCTTCTTTTTAAAAATCCTACTGCTTCTGAGAATTTAGT